TAGCGGAAGACATGCCTAAAACTCAGTAAATATATTTTAATTCCTATTCATAACAAGCCCATCGTATTTACTTCATATTGTGCATCTCTTTAAATCAATTGAACTTTTTTAATCTTGTCAATTTATCTTTGAAATGAATTAATTAAATTATCACAAATGCCATTAAATGGATTTATTTTATAATCTTTTATTCTAATTTTGTTTAATTGAGATACGACGCAATGGAAATTTTATAAAAATTGTTTTCTTTTTTTTGTTTTACTTTTTATTTTTTCCTTTTTTGTTTCAGATTTGAACATTATTTGCGAAATCGTGCAGATGACCGTTCCGGACGTTCGTTAATTAATTTTCCCACTCGGACGGGAAATTTCTTACCAGTTCCGGTTGCGCGAGTGCGCACGGAAGAATTGTGTAGCACAAGGAGTGAGCCGGATCTTCGACCTATGGCGCTTGATGACTTCTCCTGCAGGTCATTACTTTTAAAAACACACAAAAAGAAGAAATCGTAAGAAAATTAAGTCATGAAGATTAAAATTTTGTATGATGTATTATTGATAAATGAATTGATCAGAAAAGAAAATGTAAGCGTGGATGGCTTAAATGAGAAATTTCGGAATTTGACAAATTAACATTATTAATATGTTATTTTATTCATTTCTAATTACTTTTTTGCTGCCCAAAAAGTAATTAGAAGTGTTATCATAATATTAAAATTTCTTAAAATTCATCTAAAATTAAAATTTTGATAATAGATGGTTTGTGGCTTTATTTGATTATTCTCATCATATGAGTCCAAATGCAAACGCACAGCAGGAAGAACTTTCATTTCGAAAGCATCAGCTAATTAAGGTTATTTTTATCTTTGTCTTTCTTTCTCTCTCTCTCCCTCCCTTTCATCTCTTTTTGTTTCGCTCATTATTCTTAATCGTTTTTTTTTTCTTTTCTCGGATTAATTAATTAATCATGTGATGAGTTTATTTTTAGGTTTTTGGTGATGTTGATCAAGATGGTTTTTACACTGGACAGATTGGTCATCGTATCGGACTTGTTCCTTCAAATATGGTAATTGAAATTGCTAAAGATGATTTGATGCCACCACAAAGACGTCGTTCAGATGCTGCTACAACTCTGGAACCATCTTTACGACGAATGCGCTGGGGTTCATTAAAGTCAAGAAGTTATGATCACGCTGGTGATCGTCGACCACCACGAAGCAGGTAATAGAAAGTTATTTAACTAACTATGGAAAGCATAGCTTATAATTTATATATTTGTTCAAATTGAAATTAATTATAACATACTAATTATTGAGAGGTTTTAGGATAATAACAGTGGATGGTGAGCAATATCCATCTATTGATCGACGTGATCATTCGTTACCCAATAGATCAGGTGACTATTTCGGAACATCATTCAGGCGTATACCTGTTGGTGATTATCGGTTGCTTTCTGCAAGAAGTGAATATGGTGGTAGAGGAGGAAGTGGTGCTGTTGGTGATGAATATGATATGTATCCACCGAACGGAAGACATGCACGTGACTATTACGGTTATGCACGTGATCATAGGTTTGTAAATTTCATTTTTAGGAAGCAATCAGCTAAATTTAAGTTTACTCAGATCTCAGACTTGGAATTATTGTAATATAATTGCAGAACTCGTGAAATAACAGCTGATCGAGATCGTAGAGAATATTATATGGATGAAAGAGATTTGTCGGAACGTGAAAGAGCTGATTTTTATGAATCTGAAGGACCTCGAGATCCTCGGGAACGAGACATGCGTGCTTATCGCGATGTACGTGAAGGTCGAGACATGCGAGATTACCGTGATTATCGAGATTCAAAATATCCACGTGAAGCAAGTATGACGAGACGAGAGCGGGATTATTTGGAGGAACACGATGATCAAAGAATGCGTGATTATAGGTAATTTGGGAGGAAAAAGTGTATATATATATATACAAAAAAAGATTAAACAGATAAAGTAGCCAAATGTTCTTCTATCTAAATTAAGGGATTTAATGAAATCACACAATGGTATGAATATAATATTCGTAAATACGATAATCATTAGATTCAGCATAAATCTGCTAAAGCACTAGTCATTGCAGCTAGCCAATTTTAGGGATTCACGTGAGTACAGGGATCAACGTGAAGTAGCAGAGTACCGTGAAATGAGAAAAGACCGAGAAGTAGATCAAGGAGTTAGGGATGCAAGGAATTACGACAGAAGGTGTGACTATGGCAGACTTGAAAAAGGTCATGGATCAATGCGGGAATATGGAGTTTCAACTGGTACTGCTCAGTCGCATTACCCATCTGAGACTATTGCAACTGCTGAGGATTCGCGGTAAATTCAATATCGTTTCGTTAGAAGGAAGAAAAAAGAGAATGCCTAAGTGTACAGCTCATTTCATGAAATTATCCTAGGCTCTCTCATGTAACTGTTAATATAGTTTAATAGTCATTTTCTTAAGTTAAAATTATTTAGCATGTTTACACGTAACACATCATTGAAATTTATGAACTTTCGTCAATAATTTAAAAAGATACATTAAAATTAATTTAAATAAAAAGATTAGTTAATCATTCATTCAAATGAATAAACTTTTCATGTTAATTTCTAGAACTTTTTTTTCCTCCAGTTTCATAATAGAATTATAAACAACGACAGGTTTTTTTTTTTTTTCAGGCATGGTAGAATAAATGGTGGCATGGTAGTCCGGAAATTTGTAGCTAAATTTGATTATGACTCACGTGAATTAAGTCCAAATGTTGATGCGGAACAGGTTAGTCACATCCGTAACAAATAATATTAATTATTATGTTCTAATAATCATATCAAATTATTTCTATAGGCAAAAAACAATTGCGCAATTAATTGAAAACCAATAATTATTAATAATAATAAAAATAAAGATAATAATAATAATTAATAGGTAATAATAAATAACAAATGCAGAAACTATCGAATATTCATAGATACGCGATCAAAAAAAATCTTTTTGTTTAGGTTGAATTATCATTTCATGCTGGTGATGTTATCACTGTATATGGGGAAATGGATGAAGACGGTTTTTTTATGGGTGAATTAAATGGTGTTCGTGGCTTGGTACCATCAAATTTCCTTCATACTTCATCACCAAATTTATTATTGCCAACACAAATGCCACATCATCATCAACAACAACAACAACAGCAAGCTTCGCAAGTAGTGCCTCCAATTACAGTTCCAATTTTAGAGCAACAGCCAAAACCAAAAGGTGTTGTTTTTCAAGAAAATGCTAAAAAGGTTAGTTATATACATATGAAATCCCATCGTACATCTATCATTTATGATCAAAGATAGGGAATATTGATTAATTTCACACTTTATTCTATCGTATTACTATTACTTAAGGGAATTTATGCATATGGAAAAAAAGTTATCCTTAATGTAGCTACTGTTATTTTCAAATTAAAAGATATGAATAAATTAGTCAATTTAAAGTCCAAATTTACAAGTAAAATTTGAAAGTAGAAGTTATGCAATAGAAATTCAATCCCTTTTTTACTATTTTGGTTTATTTATTATAGTAAAATTATATTTTTAGTCATTGCCTGGCCGACAAAGTAGTCAAGTATCATCAACAAGTAAATCTGTTCCACAAGCATCCATGAAATCGAAAACTGGAGCAGCAACTGGTACCCAGAAGACATTATCAAAGAAACCAAGTGAATCCAGCGCTAAATCCACTCCTAATGCCAGGAAAACATCACAAACCGGTAAAAAGGAAGGTGTTGTTAAGGTAAAATAGATTTCTGTTCACTCCATAAGTAAAAGTTAAAAGCAGAAGTTATGCAAGTAGAAATTTAATCCTTCTTTTTTACTATTTAGTATAGTAAAATTACTATTCATCGAAGTCATTGCCTGGCCAACTTCTTCGCTAACTTAAATCTTCTATCTTGATAGTAGCAATAGCTTGAAGAGTATAAGTTAAAAATAAAATAATAAAAAAAGAGAAAATATGCATTTCAAATGGAATCTTCTTCCCTAACTCCATCGCAACTTGTCACACTTTATTTTTCGTTTGAACTAAACTTTATTTTTTAGTAAAAATTGTAGCTATTGCAGGAACCTTATAAATTAATATTTCATTTTTTCAGAAAAAATCTTGAATAAAATAAGAAAATTTTGCTTCTTTGATGGTCGATAATTGTTGTTCTTCCGTTTTCTCGGATTTTGACAACAGCAACAATAACAATCGCAACTAATATACACTGCTATTAATATCACTATTACTAATCTTATTATCACTGTTATTATTCATACTACTAGTATTACAATTTAAAACGCAATACTTTCAATAATGCCAAATGAAGTCGATATTTCTTAATTTTCTTCTTTAAATAGCAGTTAGATCATCATCTAGTGTTTTTTTTTTTGTTTTGTTTTTTGCTAATTTTTCATTTTATTTCTTTTTTCTTACATGATGTCTTTGCAAATCATTCATTACTGTTATTATTATTATTTACTAATTATTTATTATCATTAATATTCTTAAATTATTATTACAGTCTTACATGGCATAATATGGCAGTAATAACGTTTTTATCTGTTGATATAAAATATTCCATGTGTCTCATGCTCTTCATAATAAAAACACTATATTATATCATCTTTAAACATATCGCATAAAACTGTTTGATTTCAAAAACATGCTGAACTATCTTCTCTCCAAAAAATAAAATTAAGTGTATCAATTTTTTTCTCACATGTCAGAAGATATATCATTCAAAATATATTCCTCAAAATACAAAGAAAAAAAAGATTCTAACTGTTAACTTTTTTTGAACCTCTAAAGCCTTTTCAAGCATTCAAGCATGCAACGCCAAATACGGTGATTATAATTATGAGCACTAAATTATAAATTAAATGTTAGTAGGAAGGAAAAAACATTGATCGACTGATCGAGTTGCTAGCAATCTTGAATATTCGAAAATACACATATTTAAATTACTAATGTAAAAAAGTATACAAACATATTATGCTGTAACGTTCAGTGCACACATCTGAAATTAATTTTGCATAAAAGCTAAAACGTGAGTGGAAATAAGATGATTATTTAAATTGATCATTGCATACTTTCACCTTGCATTTTACGCAACTCCTGTAAAAAACCGACAAATTCAGAAACAGAAATCCGAGTATTTCTTAGTTTTTTTTCTCCACGCTGATTTCTTGTTCTAAATTCAATATTCACACATAATTTGCCATGCGTGTCCGCCTTATTCGAGCCAGCAACATTTACTAAAAACAATGCCGAATACATGAGATGAAGAAACACTCATGAAAAAATTATTTTTATGACAAAATATAGAAAAAGAAAAAAAGAATTCGAAAAACCCTATCAATTTCATTCCATCAAGGTTAATTTATACATGTAATTTATACACTATAATGCTGTTTTAATATCATCACTTATCTGAGCTAATGTTGACTCATAATCATCCTTTTTGAAATTAAACACGTTTATATTTAATTGTAAAGCAATTATGGAATAATCTGTTTAGGGAGAGATTCGAATTCCCCTAAGCATTCTTCAATGGATTTTTAAACCACTTTAAGATAATAGTTATTAATTTTGCTTTCCAATGTTTCAAGCAATTTTGCTATATGCAAAAGGAACTTATTTGCACCACTCAAATAGCAAATGTGAAATAAAATTAAATGAAATGATAAAAAAAAAAGCTATTCAAATAGTGCATTATGGCTCGTTTCCCTACAGTTGTTAAATAGATGTTTAGAGTTGTATCTTGTCTTAAAGCTCATCGTTAGAAGGTTTCTTGAAGCAGTGTCTCATCATGCTGTGATTCTTATTATACTCGCATAATACTGATGTTCGTAATTCACTAATAATTAAAATTTTTTTAAAAGTTTAAATTTCAAAACAGTGTGGCACTCCATGGATGAAATATCTATTTGCACTTACCAATTAATGAATATCCAACACACTCTAATGTTTCCATTGATTAGTATACAGAGTTCGTTGATTTAGATTTAAATAAGCAATCAACCAAGCGTCATTTTTCTGCTAAATAGGTTATTTATAAAAATGTGAAATAATCCTAAAAATCCATTATCATGAATCATACTTAAATTTGCTACTAGCAATCAGGATGATCTTCAAAGTCGCCACCAGAAACCGGAATAATTCTCAAAGTAGCTACCAGAATCGGAATAATTCTCAAACTAGTCACCAGAATCGGAATAATTCTCAAACCAGTCACCTTCAACTCCATCGACCAGACTCTTTCCAAAACCGGAAAGAGGCCATTCTCAGTTAGCTGCTGAGACAATTCATTGTTGCATATGGTACTAATGCAACATACTGCAACTCTGTTTCGAGGATGAGTGAGATATAAGAGAGAGAGCGAGGGAAAGCGGAGACTGATGAAATATACGGGGGAAGCAGAGATTGGTGAGATATACGAGGGAGAGAGGGGAAGCAGAGATTGATGAGATTGTGCAGGGGGGAAGGGGAGCACAGGTTGATGAGATTTGATAAGAATTTTGATGTTTAAAGAGAGGGGAAGGAGAAGGAAGATTGACGAGAATTTGTTAGTAGAGGTGATGATAAAGGGACAAGGAGAAAGAGAGAGGGAGAGGGAGAGACTTGATAATTGTTATTAATCTTAGATATTATATATAAACATCTGTAGAGGATTTGCTTAGAATCGAAAAATAATGCTATATATCGTGTATAAATGAAGTGTTTATTTATCTTAATTTCTTTTTACTTTTGTTTTTTATCAGTTTCACTGATCAATACATCTTTCATTAGCTGTAAAAATTCTTATTAATATTCTGTTTCCAAATTATCTCTCAAACAATATGGTTGAAGAGGATTTTTTTTACTAGATTTTTAAAATATTAATTCTAATTATAAGTTATTGCAGAATAGTAGACACAAAGGTGATATATGCCAGATAAAATAGCTAACTTAATTGGCAAGTGGAAAGAATGTCCATAAAAGCTGCTATCAAGTTGCTTCAATCGCATCCTGTTTCGTCATTACTGCAAATAAATCAGAAATTAAAGGATATACGAATACAAGTTTGTAGTTTTATGTTTATCGTTGTGAAGGATGAATCAGGTCATATTGCCGTTTACTTTAGCGGAGAATATTTTTTATATTACATTAAGCCGGCAAATTCGTTTCGCTTAACTTTTATTTTTAGACTTAATTATATATATATAATTAAGGCTTGTTTTATATATATATAAAGGCTTGTTTTTTTTCAAAGGAGATGTAATTGGTTTCAAAAAGGCCGATGTTTTCTGAATTACCTGTTAAATGCTTCATTTATCACTTTCATTTCATTATAAATTAAAGATTTTTGTATCTTTGATTCTTCATTTTTTCCTCTTTTGAAGAAGCCGTCGGTTTTTAGGGATGGGCACGTCGAGTAGAAACACGTGGGAAATTCTTGTTTTTGCATGTCAGTGATGGATGTTCGTTAAAAACGATACAAGCTGTGGTACAGCGTGATATTTGTCCTAAAGTACCGGTTGGTAGTGCTGTGGATATCGTTGGTGATTGGGTAATGAGTAATGGTAAGCAACAAGGCATGGAACTGTTTGCTACAAATTGTGAAGTTGTTGGACTTCAGCAAAAAAGCGTAAGTTTTTTTTCGTACTTCATACCGAAACTAGTTAGCTTCTCAATCATCTTCTAGCTGGTCCTGTCATCATATCATCATTGACGGAGACTTCTCATTGTTTTACTGATAGTTTACTGATTGTTGAATTATTTAAAAAAAGTTTCACTTTAAATAACTTTTCTGCTGACCTATAGTTTCAAACTTCCATTCACTAAAACTTGTTCAGTTCCACACGTGATTTCCATGATGTTGATCGCGTATTCTACAAAGTTTAGTTCAGCGAATTGCCTACTGAAGAAAGTTGTGCGGATGTTACGCGTAGAAAATATCATTTACGAATGAAATCCATTCCATTCATGTGTCTGCTGCGGCTACGTTCTCGGCTAGACCAGTTGAGTCGATCTTTTTTCCAGGTTTCTTTCCATTATATTGTTATGGAACATTTACTGATTGTAAAAAAAATAAGTGATTTTTTTACTGGGATAACGTGTTAGGAACAAGTACTTCTTTGTTCAATGAACCTAACTTATGTCTTTCCTTCTAATACGTGACTGCTGAGTTAAATATGTTTATCTCTCTGACTTTTTCCATAAATTAGTATATTTAGATCCGAAATATGATCCAGCACCTTATTGTTGGTACTACATTGTTAAGGAATATAAAAATGCCGAGTTCTTTATTTTTAGAATTGCATTAACTTGAAAAGATACTTTTTTTTAGAAGGAATTATTCTTTCATGTGGATACACCGCTGTTAACTCATAATGACTGCGAAGGTGGTGGTGATATATTTATTGTTCAGGTATTAATCTTATTCTCTTTATCAATTATTTTATTAGACAAATGGGAAAATAAATAAATAAGAAAAGCGAGAAAACCAGTTATTAGGAAACAGCATCAGTAGAAAAGCGAAAATCTTCTTGAATCATATTTGCGGTCAATATTTTTCTTCCATATTTTTGTTCCACGGTATTTTGAGTAACATACTTAACCATTTGTTGAAGTATTTTGTTCCTTGATTCATGTATTAATGCCAAAGATATTCAAAAAATCCGTTCTTTATCAGTAATAACCATTAGCCATTAGGAGCTGGAAATCACAGTTGTCGCAAATCCGAACAATTAAAATGTTTCCCCGTTTTTCAGGCTGATAAACAAAATTATTTCGGTGATCAAGCAGTTTATTTGCCAGTTTCAAGCCAACTACATCTGGAATCCTTTGTTGGGTATGTTGAGTTGTATGTTTTTATTTTTATCGCATCCTCTATTTTGCAGTTGTTCCATATGTGTTATTTTCATCGAACAAAAATTCTTTAATTCCAAAAAATGCTTTTTCAGTTTGTGCCAATATTGATATATATGATTTGTTGCAGCAGCCTATCGAAGGTGTACACAATAGCGCCTGCATTACGTGCTGACCATTCGCAGACTCGACAACATTTGGCAGAATTTCGAATGTTGGAGGCAGAATATGCGTTTGCAGATGATTTAGAGCAGTTATGCGATTTGGTGGAGCGTTATGTCAACTATGTGATAGATGGAATGCTTAGTTGTGATGTGAAGGAAATCAAATCAATGATGCAAGTTTTTTGCAGCGGGGTCAGTTAGTTCTTCATTTTCAGAAAGTTGCAAAAAGTGGCAGATTTGATCATTAAAACACTGAAAGTTTACGCGTAACACGAATTAGATTAGAAATTGCTTTGGTTAAATCTCAGCGATGATATTTTGGTTCAGATGCTTGATGATATCACAGTCTCACTTATCTTTCAGAATGCAGAAGTGCAGTCACTTTTATGGACTAATGGTTCTCGGAAGCCATTTCTCCGTATACAGTATGACGAAGCAGCTGCTATATTGCAAAGTAAGGGTGAAATGATACCTGGAGGACGGTTTAGCAAAGAGAACGAATTAACCATGGTGAAGCACTGTGCTGGGCCCTTATTTGTCCTCCGTTATCCATATACACAGAAGCCTTTCTACATGAAACGTTATGGCAATTATGTAAGTACTCAATTTTTCATTATATTTAATTAAATAGAAATCATGAAGTTTTTCTTTTCTCAATTTACTAAAAACATGGTAAACTTCTGTATCGACAAATCTTATTTTCTTCCCGCTTTATTAAGACGGTTAGTCATGCATTAATATTTTCCAGTGAGAATCATTATTGTGACTTATCAAGATGCCCAACTCACGAATAGTGATGAGAGGAAGAAAAAATGGTTTTCATTAAAAATGTGATGTTATTTACTGCAGGCGGAGTGTTTCGACTTGTTGGCACCATTTGTTGGTGAGCTAGCTGGTGGTTCTTTGAGGGAGCCAGATGCAGAAGAGCTCCGTCGTCGTGGATGCGATGACTCGTTGGATTGGTATTTGGAAATGAGACAGCATGGCCATCCACCCAGTGCAGGATTTGGCATTGGTTTGGAACGTTTCATGCAAGCCTTGTTTGGTATTCTAAACATAAAGGACACGGTAGCATTCCCGAGATGGTATAAGCATTGTCCAAGCTAATAATGGTATCACAAATGTTGGTCCCAAATAGGGTTGTTGAAACTGTCTTATTGTAGGAGTTTTCTCAATATGTTCTTTTTGCATTGAAAATTTTCACTATATATGTTTTCTTACCAATAAATTTTTGAGATTTCATAAAACATAAAGTCTTTAACTTTGAGATTAGGAAAACGCTTACTTGCTTTCAAAGTGTTTATAGATGAGAAGTGAAGCTATTTGATGAATTGTCTTTGACGATATGAATGTTAAGTTGTCAAATTACTGTTTTGATTTTGCAAAGATTCACTTGTAAACTTCAGTTTGTTGAATAAATTAGGTTCTTTTTTTTCTTGGTTTTTAACTTATTGCTTGCTTACTTTGGCGATATTTGTATTTTTTGGTTCTCGGACATTTCGTCTTTCTTAAATCGGATAATCTCTCATTGAATGACATTTTCATAGTCATTCAATTTCGAGCTTTTACGATTATGGTGACACGTGACGTCATGTCATGACGTATCCATGATTCCGTTGTCTGCCATTCCTAAAACATGCGAGAAAATTGAGATCTGTTTAGGTTGAGCTGTATTACAGTCATTTCAGGAATTTGCCATTATTTCTATTGCTATAATATTTAATTTATTCTGAGAACAGTTTGCTTTTAAATTGGCGTTGGAAATGGTGAGGCTTAAAAACAGGTAACATTCTGGTAGTTTCTTTACCTCTTTTACATAAAGTGATGGCGACCTATAGTGTTTTTCAAGAAAGCACAAGTGAACAACTCTGATATTTTTCTACAAATTCGTCGTTCTGGTTTTTCGTTTACTATAATTTCTTTTCCCCTTTAGTGTTGACAGTAATACCATCCAGAATTTTTAGTTCCCGAATCATTTTACAATATAACGTAAATGATTTGATTTCCATTGGTTTTTTCTTTGTCTCACACTTAGTCTCAAAATATGTTTAATTTCGCATATTGCCATTGGAGATAGTAAATAGGTTAGAATAGTAATTTTGATTTATTACAGAATCAGACAAAAATTTGAAATTTTTTAAAGATATGTTCTGATGGATATATTATTTGATAAAAAAGGTGGTATCGTAACAGAATCAGCTATTTATGTAGCACTCAGTAAACAGATCGGAATTCTTTTTGGGGATTATGGAATGGCAGCAGCAAAACTTTCACTAAGTGTTAAGGTATATTTAGCATTTTTTCCAAAATATATGATTTCAGAAAGTTATTTGTCGAAATTATTTCTTGATGTATGCCAAAAATATATTAAACTGTTTCAATATATAGATCGTATAGTTAAGTTTTAACATTATGTTGAGTGCATTTTGAAGTAAGGCAATATATTTGTATCTTTCAAATGAAGCAGTATTTTGCATCATTCCCTCCAAGTAATGGAAGATTTGCATGACTGAGTGGGGAAAGAATAGGCAGTTTGGTTAAAGTATCAGTTTAAAATCCTTTATCACAATTGTACAGGTTTTCGATGCTGGAACGGCAACAACTATTATCAGGATATCGAAGGAATTTGCACAACGACTCCTCAGTGCAATACCATTCGTATGTACGATTGATGGTATACCGGTTGTCTTACAAGTGCTCTTTGTTGGTTAGAATATTTATATGCACAAAATGGAAGAAAAAAAAAATTAAATTGAAGTCATAAGAAAAAATGGAAAAGAATTATTTGAAAATTATGTTGATAGTATGGTATTCAAAAGAGAGTTTCTGATTGTTATCGCCGAAACTATGCTAATAATAATAATAATAAATGATAACAATAATAAATAGCAGTAGTAATGATAATAACTATAACATTAATAATATTAATAATGATGATGATCGTGGTAATAACAATACTAATTATATTAATATATATATTAGTAATAACAATAATTAATAATAATGGCGATGGTGATAATAATGATAATAATAAATAATAATATCAATAATAATGATAACAATTGTGAGCGTAATAATAATAATAATAATAATAATAATAATAATAATAATAATAATAATAATAATAATGATGACAGTGGTAGTAATATGATATCAATAATATTGACAATAATATTAATAATGATAATAGCAATTATTATTGTCAGTTATCATTATTGTTATTATTATTAGTAGTAGTAGTAATAAGTAATTAGAAATTAGTCATAATTAGTAATAATAGTAATAGTAATGGTAATGGAGTCATCTGCTCTTCACTGCTTTGCTTAAATGATTTATTCTTTTGAGGTTCTTCTGTGCGATCTTGTCAGAGAGCACTGTTGAGGATAAATCGAAGAAGACTGTATTCCAATTACGTAGCTGCAAAAACCTATGGTGAGGAATCTTTTTTTTTCTTTTTCTAGAGCATATTAAAATATAGGATCGAAGACCTTTCATGCAGTTTAAGATCTTACTTTATGCTCGTTTTAAATATCAAAATCGTATCTTTTATATCAGTGAGAAAAGAGTTGATGAATTTTTTAATGTTTAGGAGAAAAGAAAGATGTAATGGATGCTATACGAAGCGTAACAGGAAATGTGAAATTTGAAAATACCTTAAATTAATTTTTTTGATTTTCCTTAAATTAATTTTTTTTTTTTTTTGGTTAATTTTTTGATTTTCCGTGTTTGTATAACGTCATTATCTGATTCTGTTTCCTAAATTCGATGATTTGGCAGTGTATCTTTTAATGATTGCAATTTAGCTTGCGTGTTTTGGCGAATTATTGAAATATATTGTACATTTTTGTGTACTATTCCTAATGAAAATAACCAAGGGAAAATGAATAGTCCTTTTTTTCTCGTTTTTCCCTTTTTATTTCGTTGCTGTTAAACTAGTTTTTGCTTTATTTATCACTATCATATGGTTGCCTGGAATTTCTACGGATTCTTGTCCTGTCATTTCCACTCAAATTTCCTTTCTTTTTCTTACAAATTGAGAATGAAGATAGTTACTGTTTAACGGGGCATTAATTATGGCGTTTGAATCAATTTCACATATTGTCCTGTTCTTAGGAAGAAGAAGAAAAAGTGAAATATCAAATCATTCCATAGAATTGATCTTCTGATTGAGCTCTCTGGCCGAGTTTGTTCGGTCTCCCTTACGTAACAGCTTTTTCGAATTTTGTACATAATGGTTTTGTTGAGAATTGCTGATATATAATAAATATTGTTTGCAGGGTGATTTTTGAATCCTTCCCAAAAGTAATCTTCAAACTATGCTTAAAGAATGATCTACATATAGAAGCTATGCACATTTTAAATAAATTTTTTAATTTGCAATGTATGTTTTGTATCAAATGAACTGTATGTACATTTGCTCGTTAATTTTTCGAGCAATTTTTTTTAAAAAAATGCATCTCATTTAATTCCACATTTCGAAATTTAGATATGCTAAAAAGAAAGTTTTACGATTTGAAAATCATTGTTTTCCTTTTAATTTCCATCGGTTTTTTATCAACTTTTTTGTCCTTTCAAATTTTTATTTTAAGATACTTATCCATCTTTATTTATTTGACATATTATCTTTCATGTTTGTTTTTATCAGCCATTTAAGTTTTTCATTTTTGTTATTTTCCATAAATTTATCACTATTTTAAAAAATGTTTTGCTGCCTCGTCTATCCTTCTCCTCCCTACTTATTCCTTAAATGGAAATTTCTTCCCCAGTTGTATAAAACTTATTCCTAACCATCATTTCTCCAATTTTTGCCTCCAGAGCTATTCTTTCTTTAAACTGTTAAGAGCGGAAAGAAAAACCTAAAATCAATTAAAAAAAGAAATTCGAAAATTTGCTATTTCGCATAAATTTTTTTCTATCAGTGGTTATTCCATATCAGTAGTCATCTTTTGATACATCAGTGGAGTATATTGGGCGACTAAATATGTTAAGGATTATAAATGTTATCTTAATGTATCCTATTATGTTGGATTCGTAAAGTCCTTCCAGACAATACATCATTTATTAATTCCTTTAAAAAATTTTTGAAATATTAAAAATTAAAACTTATTAAATTATTCATTACACTTCTTTCTTGATTAAGAATTTTTTTCTCTATTTTCAGATTGCTAATTATTTTTTAGATGAAAATATTCGTTCATTTCCTCTGTGCTGATTTGTACTAGTTAATACAAGCTGCAATATGACATACACTGCAGATTTTTTTTTTATTAGCTTACTGATTTAATGATTTATTTGTTGTTTTAAAATAACCTTTTAGTATCTATGCAAAAAAGAAATATATCTGCAAGACTATGCAAGCTCATTAATGTAACTCAAGTTCATTTGTTGCTTATTTTATGACACTCTTGTATATTCAGTAGTTTTTCATCAGGGTAGTTTTGTTACTAATTCCAAGAATGATTTTTTTTTTCCTGTACTAAGTAATGTATTAACTGTTCTTGATTGTTCCTCAGTTTGTAAAAATTTGCAATCTTAGGTCCATATTTACTGAAAAAAAGCGGTTTTTAGCCGATTTTTAGCTTATTTGTAATTGTTCGTTGGATCTGGTTACATTTATCAGGAGTTATCGGTCGAGTCTGCAGTTGTAATAAGCTGTTATGCTTCCGAACTGTGTGGAAACAACCAGTGAATCTATGCATGATGTTGCTTTTAAGGCTGCTGTTGACATAATACAAAGTATGCCGAAAAAAGGTTGTTATTTAACCCTAAACTTAATTCTAATTTTATTTAAAACATGACATTGCAGCGGCTATTACTGCCCGAAAAGCTTGTAAATCCGAAAAACCTTTCAGATTTCTCTTAGTCAAGTTTTTTTTGGATATTTATGTGATCTTGTTTGCATTGAAGTTGATTTCGCATAGTAGTTTGTGACCGGATTTTCAGGCTTAGTCAGTATTTCGACAAGCCAGAAATTGCGATTTTATTCATTATTTAAACAGGGAACAAATGGAAGATGTAATACTCCATGTCCACCAATGTGGCATGCTGTTGACCGAATGAAATGGTAGATTACGTTTTTCTTCTCAATGTAAGAAGTCTAAATGATGTGATAAGCGAAGGCTTCGGTAGATTTTAATGTTTTGCAGTAATGATGTCAGGAATAATTTTATTTCCTCCTTTTTCGAGGAAAGTTAATATTAGTTGGAAAACCATCTCAAGTTAAAACTTTTCTTTCCTCAATCTTTGACTAATTTCTAGTTCTGAAGAAAAACAATAAATAGAATATGTTGTTTAAATTTTTACTCCAATATTGATAATTGTCTTAAAAGGCGTGCTTGGGATGCTCTTGGGTCAATGAATTCGTTGGAAGCAAAAAAAATTTATGTTATCGAATTCAAGAATATTATCAATGCTATGCAACAAAAATATGATATAGCAGAACTGGTAAAAGGAAGTGATGATCGAATGAAAGTGTTACTGAGAGAAAAACTTAACATCCTTGGTTATGGTATTTTTTTATTCAAAACATTTAAAATGTCTATAGAAATGGATTTTATTTACACTTGGATAATCGAATAAAGTTCCATTTCTTAATTTGTTAAATTGGAAATTGTTTCACTTTTTATTCAGATTGCTTTGTTCCTCACTGTATGCAATACTTTGATATTGAACTAACTGTAAGATTGTTCTATCAGAAAATTATAGACAAATTATAGACTTCATAATGATATAGAGTTTGTAATCTTATTTTTTTACTTATTTTTTTTAGATGTAAGTGATTCAAAAATAGGGGAAGATTTGGATGATTCTGGGCAGCAATCGTACAGCATGGCTGAGGAAAACTACGAAATGAAGAAACACAGCGTGAGTTAAGAAATTTGAATCTGTCAACGATTTATAAAGAAGTTGGGAGAGATAAGTATGTCAGCTACAGTAGCAAAAAAAGTATCAAAAGTCTTCCAGTTTACTGATCATATAATTAAATATTTCAGCTACTGTAAAATATCTTTGTTCTGATCACTTGTATCGTATTTTTTCCTAAAATTTTATTAATTAATATAGGTCTGCAAAACTTCATTTGCATACTGATGAATACTTGACCTGACTGCTAGATAATACCTACTGCTGAATAAGGTAAATTGTAAGACTTCTAAATAATGTAAGAGTCAAAAAATTCGAATATGCGAATCGGAAACTCCTAGCATTATGAGGACTAGTTATCTTACGACTAGCCCAATCGGCTTGGATGAAGCAATTAGTTCATGCTCAACATTAGGAGCTGACTTTGTTTGTAATTGTCACTAGGACAGCTATAGCCCTGAATAATTGAATAGTCTCGATGATTTTGGAATGTTATGGAAAAGATAAGATTCTTTTATTTATAACTCTCTCTTATTTATAATTTATTTATAAAGTATTTTTTCTATTTATAACTTAATACGAAGTGTGATAAGTCATAATTTAATTTATTCATCGGTACCTATTAAGTGAACTATTTGCAGAGTAATAATGGAACTAATGAACTATCGGATCAGTGTTCAGAATCAAGCACTTCTACTGGAGAATATGTCGATGCAGTTTGCTGTAGTCAGGTAAGTTTTTTTCATTTCCTGAGCGATTTTGAACCTTAAGAAATATTATTGATATTAATGGCTATTTTAATGTGGAAACTAAATTAATGGCCTTTTAATATAGACGTGAAGTGCTAATGATATTGTAGCAGAATAGAGATATTAATTTTTAAAAAGTCTGTTCTCTCTAGGAGCCATGTGCCTTCTGTCAGGAACAACTATCGAATCACAGGTAAATATCGAATCAATTTCAGATTTCAAATTTTTTCTTCAGATCATCATTAGGAATATATTGCATTTTCCATGTTTTAGATTTAGGGAAAAAGAGTGTGATAGATATTATAACGTAGTGGCGTCAAATTACTGTAGTAGTTTTTGTTCTGAACCTGAAAAAATTTAGTTCATCACATCTTTTTGATATTCTGATTAATGACAATATCTGATGAAATTTAAAATTTGAAGCGTGAATTATTACATCCCACTGTTTGACGTCTAGCAGTTCAGATTCCTGTTATAAAAATACCATGTCAAGTGATATTCCTTTACAGGAACTAATATATTTTGTCATCATAGTGCTACATTTGTTACACTTTTTTCTTAAAACTATGTGCAAACTATTAGGTTAGAATGGAGTTTGGAAAATCTGAGACAGAGAACGGCTGTTCTACGGCAAGATTATATATATTGAGTTAATTTGCAGGGTGGATCACATGAATGGTTATCACTTTTCCTATTCTACTTCCAGTTCAAAAAATTTGAAAGTATTCATGCAACGACATCTGAAGATATTAATCAGTTTGCTGACATATATGAGGCGCCTGTTTGCTACATTTCTGTCGAACTTTAAAGGATACATCAAAAATCGATGTAAAGTCGCAGCTTTCATAACCATACTGCCATTTATTGCTTATTTTATTATGGCTTACCTGTGCTAGAAATGATTTACATTTTGTTAACGCTTATCATCATATTCCCTTGTTATGAATTATAATCACCAATCTCTAAGAATGCTCATTATTTATCTTTTCATGAAACAAATATTGTATGTAATGAAAACTTTTCATGCTGCTGGAGAAAATCTATATGGCTGAA